AGGGGGGGGGGGAGTTCTGACCTTGCCCAATCCCCGCCGTCCTGGAGACACCCTGGCCGCACCTTGGGCAGCACCTGCCGCCGCAAAACCTGAAGTCCGCTGGAGAATGGGTCTCTTCTTCCTTTGTATTGGGACAAATTTCCTGTTGGGTCGCGTCCAGCGTCCGGCGTCCATAGCCGTCGGGCCCGAGTCGAGCGATGCCGCCAACGGCGGCCTGCGGGCGTGCGGATGGTGGTGGTCGAGGGGTACATTACTTCGACCAGTCACAGTGCAAGGGCCCGGACTAATCATTTTTCCAGTCATTTTCGAGTCACCAGCAGGCCTGGAAATTTGTGAGAAAATCACTTCTAGGGGATCCAGCCATTATTTGAGTCAACTCTAGTCACTCATCCAGTCCAGTGACGTCCAGTCATTTTCCAACCATTTCCTAGTCACATAGTCAGAGTACGTGTACACCCTTTCTGAAGTGATGTGATGTACCCCTCGGGACCAGACGGCAGCGCGCCCGCATGGCCCGCAACCAGCGCGCAGCAGGCCGGTGGGGCTGGGGCCTGGGGCCACTCTGATAACTGAGCGAAGCGGCTGACTGAACGACTGACAAGTACCTTATCGCTCGCGGTGCGTCGATCACATGTGTTCGATCAGCAGGTGCGGAGAAAGTATAGCAGTGTGCGGTGCGGGCGCCTGCCTGCACGGCTGGGGCGCGTGGAAACCAGTGGAAACCCCGACGCACATCCTCGGCTACGCGGGAAAACCGCGCGTAGAGGGAAGACCCAGTCCGCCTCGCTGCCGGCCCAGTCCTCCGCGCGCGCCGCCGCGCCGCGCCCGCGAGCGCGCGAGCGTGCCAGAGCCACTCCCCGCCCCGGAGGACTCGGTCAATCCGAGCAAGCAGGCGCACGCCACACCGTGTCTCGAGTGCACTCAGAGAAAAAGTGTTCTCTTATTTGAAGAACATTTTATCCTGCGATCAATTTTACTCTTGACGCAAGATGACATAATTGCTTACTGAAAAGAGAAACTTGTTACGCGTGCTGCTGAAGGGATGCGCCCGGATGCGCCGCGCACTCGCGGGCTCTCGCGGGGTGGGTCGCGATAATACGCGGGGTTGGCCCCCATTCTTCCTCTTTGGATACCTCCCAGCTCCTCCTACGCCATGTTGACCGCCAGAGCGACTGATTCCAGCGCGGAGGTGGAGGGGGACCGCCGCCTCCCCGCCCCCCTCCCCCTCCTCTTCTGCCCCGTTCATTGCCTCGGGGTGTGCCGGCCGGCACGCTGCGGGATGCTCCCCTTGAGATGGTTGAGGTCACGGACCGCACTTTTCATGAAAGGTCCTGTCGTGAATGAGCGACCCATTTGACTTTTGCCAATCTTCTCATTCTGAAACAGGGTGGCTTACATACCCCGGGCAACTTGGTAGTTATACTGTCCCGCAAGCAGCCGCGCGGGCGGGTGTGCCTATCCTCTCTCACCACGGCGCCTGCCCCCCTTGCGAGGATGCAAAGCATCCACACGCCTGCGTGCGGTACAGTATAACTACGAAATTGGCCGGGGTATATGGGCTACCTTGTAATATTGCCACTTGTCAATAAGTTTCCCGTTTTGATAAATATTTAATGTCACCTTACATTATGTCTCCATAAAGCAGCTCCTTGACAGAGCAGGCGTTTTCTGTTGGTGGAGCTCTTGGTTGAAATTACGATGTTGCCGAGAGAGAGTGAAATAGCGAGAGATAATTGTTATTGAATTCTCGTGTTATGTACGGTTCGAACATGATCCGGCGGCTGCCTCCATGTGATGCCAGTGCGGTGCAGTGACGTGGGCCCCGGGCGGAGTCGCGTGGAAGTCACTGCTTACTGCTCCTTTCTCACGGAGGATTTATTGCAATGGGAACGATAACAATAACAACAGCTTGAGCCGGTCCCGCTCAGCCGGTGGTCGGGTGGTCCGGTCGGTTGGGGTCAAACCTCGCACGGCCACACCCAGCGCTGGATCCAGTCGGTGAACCTGGAGACGCTGGTGTAGAGGCCCGGGCGGTCGGTGCCGCAGCCGCGGCCCTGGGACACGACGGCCGCCACGAGGTAGGAGCAGGTGCCGGGGCCGGGGCCGGGGCCGCCCGCAGTCGACACCTGCAGCGGGCCGCCGGAGTCGCCCTGCGCGCGAGGTGCGGGGAAACAAGTAGCCATCAAACAAATGCGAACGCGTAAAGTGCATTAGCCACAATGGCCTTCAGTTACAATTTTAGCTCTACACAGCCGTGTCTGCAACGGTAGTTTAGTTTTCCTGTGTTATGTAATGATAGCTTTGCCGTTAGAGCCAGTATTGTAAGCTATTAGAACCAGTCTGATTTACGCTCAGAAAATAAATGTCGTTGGCATGCAACGGGTGTCTCTTTGCATGCGCTCCAGCGTTGCGGCCATGTCACCTTACGCCTTACGGCCGACGAGTGGACAGACCCGCAACACAGGAGCGCATTGAATTGAAAGGAACAGCTGTGGGTCATGCATCTGCTTGCACACTACGACTAACCCTCACCTGGCATGCGTCGGGCCGTACTCCCTTCTTCTTCTTGCCCAGGGCGCATATGTGCTTCTCGTGCACGTGGAGCGAATCGTCGCCCCACATCTCCAGGCAGTGCTCGCGGGAAAAGATGTCTACTGACGCCTTCTGCAGAGCTTCGCTCGTCTTCTTGTCCTTCTCTTTCACTCCTGAGCCCGAGTCTGCAACCGACGATATCACGTCACGTGAGGAAAAGAATTTCGCCCTTCCCGAAGACGCGAGTACCCGACACCGAGCTCGTCCTTACCGTACTCCTGGTACCCCCAGCCGGTGACGACGGCTTCCTGGAGGCGCGCGTCGTCGCCCGTGTGCAGGCACGCGGGCCGGACGTACACGGTGAAGCGCACGGGCTCCTGCAGCTGCAACAGCGCGATGTCCGAGTGCGCGCCGCCCGACCTGAAGAAGTCGGGGTGCACGATGTGCTTCGCCACCCTCGCCACCTTCACGTTCCCGTTGTCCCTCTCGTTGGTCCGCACGAGGCCAAGCAGCACCCGGGCGGGCACGGCGCAGTGCGCAGCAGTCAACACGAAGTCCTCCGAGATCAGGGTCCCCGCGCAGTACGGCTCGTCCTTCTCGTCCAGGAAGAGAGCCTGCACTCGGACGAGGACAAAGCACAGGCCTTGAGCTCAATAAGCGAGGGCTAAAGCGGGCATAGTTTGCTCTCGTGTTCCGTACGCGCCCCGACGACCTACCATGTGCGGGAACTCGTAGTCGCCGGCGTCCTCACCCCCGACGACGAACGGCACACCCTCGTCATTGGCGCAGTAGCGCTTGCAATAGACATCATCCTCAACAGTGAGAGCCGCGTCGTCCTCGTCCATGAACTCCAGCAACTGGTACGACAGACATTCTGCAGAGAGTAGAGGGCCAAGAGCATGAGAGTGCCGGCCACAGATGAACACCCCCTCACGCGTCACGTGTACTCACTCCTCTCAATGACGGACGCGTTCGCTGGGACTCTGGGGATGTCAATCTCCTCCTCGGGTATGGTGCACGGCGCGGCCCTCAGCTTGTTAGTCCAGGCGAGGAGGTCGTCCGCCCGGGGCGAGCCGGGCACGCGGCCCCCGACGCACGGGGGAGGCTCCCGGTGTGCCTCGCGCCACGCCGGCGGCGGCGGCTGGGCCGGGCAGCACACCCCCTGCGGCCGGCACAGCTGCGCGCAGTACCGGCGGTCCGAGGCCTTCTGCCTGCGCACGTAGGGGCAGCTCCACGTCGAGCGGCACTCGCCCGTCACGTTGAGCTCGGCGTGGTGGCAGGGCGCGCCCACGGCGAGCGGGGGCGAGGGCGCGTCGGGGCAGGCGGCCGGGGCACCGGCGGCCACCGCCATCGCGGCGGCGAGCACGCCGAGGACGAGGACGCGCACACCGACTCGCACCATGTCTGAGACGCGACTGGCCCGACGCGCCGAGCGCGAACCTGCGCCTTTCGCGACCGACTGACCGACGCCAACAACCGGGCGATCAGCGATCAGGTCCTTGGACGCTGTGGCTGTGAGACGCGGGTCCTTCGGCGACGCCCAGCCTCAGGCTCGGACAGTGGAAGTGTACCGAGAGGATTCCTCATCTGCTATCACATTTGATACGATGCGATTCGCCGGTGCCGTCCCGGCCCGTCGCGGCCCGACCCGGCTGCGGCAGTCCGGGCTGCCAAGGCCGCCAGGATCAGACTGGACTAGCTCGGCGCCATGACGCGGGTCGGAGCCAGGTGGGACCGGAACGCCCGCCCAGGGGCACCTCGCCGACCGCCTGGAAGCAGAGCTGTAGCGGAATGACTGCAAGACTTATATTTTTCGCCCTCCCCACTCCCCTTTTAGGATCATCTGTTGCAAAATGATTTACCCCCCCCCCCCTCCGATGTAAGCGCTCCCCTCGGCCACAACGTTTACCATTCCACGCGAAGTTGTTCCACATCCTGCCTCCCTGTCACCCACACGTTGTTTACCCATCATTCCCCCCACCCCGGACACCGCCGCCACTTCTTTCCTCCCGCAATCCCTGCACCACGCCAAGACGCAAACGCCGGGCGGTTGGCGAGTTGAGCCGGCCCGGTCAGGCCCGGCACCGCGTCAGTCCAGTCCAGTCCCTCCAGTCCACGACAACATCCCGGCCGGCCGGCGAGACCCCCCAGCCCGCTCCGCGCGCTCCGCTCCCGTGGACCTCCCCGCCGAAGCGACGCTCCCGCCGCCCAGTCCCGCAGCATGGCGCTGCTCCTCGCCGCCCTGGTCGCAGTGTCGTGGGGGCACGCCGCCGGCCTGGACGTGGGTAAGTGCCTCGACGAGTGCCTCGACGGCGGCGAGCAGGGTGACCCCGGGGGGACTGTCGAGTGACGAGCTTCTGCCCCGGACAGGCGAGACCTGCACCCACGCGGCCAAGGGCGTTGCGGGGACCTGCAAGCTCGTCCCGGACTGCCCGTCCGCCGTCGCGGACCTCGAGAAGCAGATCAATCCCCAGATCTGCGGCTTCGCGTCCGGGTCGCGGAGGGCCATCGTGTGCTGCCCCAACCAGGACGACGACGTGACGCAGCGGGAGCAGGCCGGCAGCGTCGCCCGGAGGAGTGAGTAGCGAGGGCGATGCACCCTGGGTTCTCTAAACGTTGTCGCTGGCTCGCCGCCTAACGCTCCACCTTGCAGTGTGCTTGCAGTACGCGTCGGACGCCAGCCAGAAGGGATACTGCCGGCTGCAGAACCTCTCCAGGTAACCCCCTCCTGCCCCATTCTCGTCTCGTTATTGCTTTTCGGCCGGTCTCGAACCTAAAGACCTAATCCGCTAGTTGGTAATGCTGTGCCCGTGGCTGCAGACCGTCTGTGCAGAAGCTCATCGTCAACGGCGTCCCGGCCGCGCCCAGGGAGTTCCCGCACATGGTGAGTGTCGGAGCCGGAGCACCGCCGCCGTGCCCCTCATGCGCTCGGCGTGGTGACGCGCTCACACGCTCCGGCCGTGTCTTTTGCAGGCCCTGCTGGGCTACGGGCCCCCCGAGTCCGTGACCTACGCCTGCGGCGGGTCACTCATCTCAGAGCGCTGGGTGCTGACGGCCGCCCACTGCGTATCCAACCAGAAGTGAGTCCCTCTTCCGACCGACCCCCGACCAACCCCCGACCCCGACCAACCCCACCTACTGCCGCCCAACCCCGCCTAACCCAGCCCCTGCCTAAATGACGACCTCGAGTCTCCTCTCTATCCCTACCCGCCCGTCACTGACGGCGGCCTCGGCCTCCTCCTCCAGGGGGGTGGTGTCGCAGGTGCTGCTCGGCGACCTGGACATCTCCACGGAAGAGGACGACGCGCGGCCCCAGGTCTTGCGCGTCGGCGAGCCCGTGCGCTTCCCCGAGTTCAAGGCCAAGCTGCGCTACCACGACATCGCGCTCCTGCCGCTGGTCAAGCCCGCCGTCATCAGCGAGTACGTGCGGCCCGCCTGCCTGTACGCGGACCGACTCGCGCCCGGCACCAACGTGACCGTGTCCGGGTGGGGTGTCACCGACTTCGGTAGGTTGTGCTCCGGCTAGAGCCCGGTGAGAAATGACTGTGAAGACGATATCGTAACGATGTCGGAAAAGCGCAGAATTTGTCGGCAAAGTAACGCATCGTGTTGTGAGTCATTTCTCACTGCGGGCTGGTGGGGCACTATGCCGTGTTTCACAGTGCACCGGCGCCGGCGCCGCCAAGTACTGGAGGAGGCACCAACTTCAACGAATCAGTGTACGTCTGAAAATTCGATCAATATTCAATATTAATATTCGATCATTTCCGTCAAACAGTTCCTTTTCTGACCATTTAAGTCAGTTAGTTTATTCACTTTCTGTGATTGTAATCAAGTGCGACCTCACCTGAACTTGAATTTTGATCATCTTCCGATCCCCCGCCTCCTCTCCTTCCTGTCCGATCAATCGGATAATTTTCGATCAACTTAGGCTCTCTCCCGATCAAATTCTTATTTAATTCCGTTCTGTTTTAGACATAAAATAACTTTCTTATCATCCGATCACGTTGCGAACATCTGACTACTGCTTGCTCATATTACTTTTCAATCATCCGACCACTTTCCTATTTGCATTTTGATCGGATTTACAATTTGATCTGATAACTTTTCGGTCACAATCCGATCACTGTCTGATCATTGCAAGGTCTTTCCGTTTCCAATCAATTTTCGCCCTGAATTGTAGTTGACGCCTGCTCAAAATTACTGTTTGTAGCTAACGACGAGCTGAACCCTGTGATGCTCAAGGCGAAGCTCAACGTAGTGGAAGTGTCCACGTGCAACCAGAGCTACAATGGCGTCGCTGGGACTCCTGGCAGCAAGATCCCCAACGGCCTGCAGGACCACCAGATGTGCGCCGGCTCCCCCAAGAAGTCCGACGCCTGCCAGGTGAGCACTTCCCCAATCTCCATCATCCCCATACTTATCAGTGACATGCGTAAAGGGGGGGGGGGGTAGACCACCTCCCTCAGCCAGCGCGTTGATTTCGCCATCGAGGGGTTCGTGCGATTCAAATCAAACGTTCACAATCACAATCTGCCACCGAACCAGCTCGGTACGGGATCGTCTTCATCTAGAAAGCTCGCCCGCCATCCGCCGTAACTAACCTGCCGAGTTTGGCCTCTTCAAGTTATAAGAACGCCCAGTAGGTAGGCACAGTCTTCTCCGCAGGTCATGCATGCACTGCGGAGTGGCCTACCCCCAGACTCGCAGGCGCCAAGCACCCATAATTTGCCGAATGAATCTGAGGCAAAACGGACGTACTTTATAGACGATCCGCAAGTGACAGGTCCATCGAGGCATCTGCGGTCTCCCCGAGGCGTTGGTGAGACGCGATGGTGCGTGTTGGTGCGAGGTTTGGGTTCGCACTCCAATAGAAATATCCCGGTTGTTTCTGTACAGGGGCCGGCGCGGGCGGCTTTGCCCGCTTTACTCTGTCCTTCGGGCGCTATGGTCCGTTTTTCTCATATTCAGTCGGCGAATTGTGGGACCTCGACGCCTGTAAGACTCATGGTAGGCCACCCCGCAGTACACGCGTGCTGTGTAAGCAAGGTGTTGCCTACCTGCCAGGCGCTACGAGGGCTGGCAGAGCAGGTGGCAGGTTCGTAACGACGAACCGAATGGTGGACGTACTTTCTGTATGCTCCACAAACCATTCCAGCGAACGCTTGATGATCAGAATACCCAATGTGCTGCAGGGCGACTCGGGCGGGCCGCTGCAGGTCTTCACGGAGAGGAACCCCTACTGCATGCAGCACGTCGCCGGGGTCGTGTCGTTCGGCATCTTCTGCGGCAACAAGGTCCCCGGCGTCTACACCAGAGTGGGCTTCTACATGAGGTGGATCGAGAAGACGGTGTGGCCGAACGCCAAGGTCGTGTACCGCGGGCCCGACAAGGAGAACGTCACGAGCGTCCCCGACCCCTGAAGGCCCGGCCCCCGGCCACTCCCCGGCCCGACCGGCCACCCGTACGACGCGAGTGCCGCATGGGTGGCCTGCCCACCGGGCTGCCCAGCCCACCGGGCGCTGAGAAGGGAGGTCGGGAGGTTGGCTGTGTAATAATGTGATGTCCTATCCTGGACATATTTCTGAAACTCGTAACTTTTCTGCGTACATTGTGTGCAGTTTAGGTCGTGTCTTTTTAAAGTGGAAATGTCGATCGGAGTATTGGACATGTCATATCAGCTGATTGCAGTCCATGACGGAAAAAATGAGCTGAGCAGTAAGCGTGATGCACGCGTTGGCTGCCGGACCAAGGATAAAGCAATAAATTTCAATGCATTAATCGCTTTTTGTCCCGTTTCCCAGCCTGTATAAGGCGACATTATGTATAGGTCGCCGCCACGTGCCGGTGACCCGCACTCTCGAGGATGGGCCCTCGCAATGTGACAGATCCTCGTCAGGCAGTGGCCTTCGGTGGCCTTCAAACCTTAGGGTTCAACCCGGGTCGACCGCACTGTAAACTCCGCAATGACGCTTGTCTGTCGCCTTGGGGTTTAGGGGTGACGCGCGCTGTGGTGGAATTTTTCCCAAGCAAGCCCTTAAATTTCTTTTTCTATTTTACCATTTGATGAGAACGTCGTAAAATTTTGGTTTGAAGTAGCCCACATGTCATGGGGTTCTGACCCATAGTTAACAAAGTCCGCGCCAGTCAACTTTTCCCATAAATCCTGTAATATAGAATATAGTGATAGACCTGCGTGATTACGGAGGAAACAGTGTAATACTACAACACAAAACTTCACCTTATTCGCGTCACACAGAAAAAAATCTAAATCAAGAATCTGTCTTGAACGCAGATTATACAAATTTCAGAATAAATCTGTTTTCCAATTTTCTCTCATAATAAGGTGTCATTTGTTTATGGCTGCTTGTTATTACTTGCAATTTTGTAACTCGGCGTACTAGCGACGATGATGAGATAAGGGCGGGACAGAGCAGAGCGCCGGCGTCGGTGGCCTAGCCTAGTATTGTTGTACACGGACGGGGCCTGCCCTCTGCCCAGCCTGACGCAGTATTGTTGGGTAGGGGTAGGGGAAGGGGCCTGAAGCGACACGAGCGACACTCAGACGGACAGCCCCTCACTGATTCCCCTAGCGGCTAGCGCCAAATAAATTATTTTGTGGTCTCCGCTCCGCTTAGTCCTCTGTCCTAATCGAGAGTGAAAGCAAGTTGACACCTTAAAGTTACTAATTTATTCTTTACGTTTTGTCAACAGGTTTTTAAGGTATCATCATCTGCTAAAACTGTTTTCCTAGTTTTAAACGGGGGTGAAAAAGAACAAAATTATAATATTTTACCGTTTTCGATAGATCTCTACACTTTCCGATGGTCATCCAACATCCAAGCCTGGGAAATATGTAGGACGATACGAGACGCTAAAAGCCCTAAACGGCCACCAAAGTCTCTAATATTGCCTCGATGGGCAGAAGCCGACCAATCAGCGAGTTGGTCCCTTACTTTCACCTCCGCGTTTCAAATAGACTCTACCGAACTCCGGGGCGCACACACATAAAGAGTTTGGCTGGGCCTTGCGGATCTGTTGTATTGCAGGGGGCGACACTTCAAGAAAACGCCAGGTTTGGGAAGGTTACTCTCAAGTTGCAACGCGCTTCCGGTATCGTTATTCCGACGACTGCACTTGAAAGGCGTTCGAGCCATATAAACCCATGTAAACATCTGACACACGCGCGCATGCTCTTGGGCGACGTGCGCAACCCGATTGGGAAGAGTACCCGTGGGTACGCGTGTAACCCGGATTGGGACAAGGACCAGCGGGGCCCCGAATACGATTAGCGCGATACTGTACAGCGGGAGTACATATTCGGCGGGGGAGGTAGGCTGCCCAGGCATACGGTCCCCAGTTCCTCCCCGCCGTGCACCGCGCCCGGCACCCTCGCCGACAGACTCCTTCCTCCCCGCCGTGCACCGCGCCCGGCACCCTCGCCGTCAGACTCCTTCCTGTTCGCTGTCATGGCCGTCATCATGGGGCTCCCGGTGTGGGCCGCCCTGGTAGGCCTCGCCACGTTGCTCAGCTACGTGTGGTTCCGGATCGCCTTCAGGGAGCGCATGGCGCTGAGCGCCAAGTTGCCCGGCCCCACGGCGTACCCGCTCATCGGCAACCTGTACATGATCAAAGAGTCTACAGTAGGTAGGTAACTGGCCGCACTCAACAAAATGAAAGTGGGTGACATCGGAACACTTTGAATTGCGTGCCAAAATGCCAAACACGCGAAAGGGTGCATGACCGATCGATGCGTCGGCCGTGGAAACGTGTGTGAAAACTGTGGCATTCACAGAAAAGTGTGTGACTTGGGGACTGTCTAAAAAGTAAATACTTGTCCGACACAAAAAGTGTGTGACATGGTTATCACACACTCTTTCGTGTCGAATATTTAAACATTCGCTATGGTCTTGCAGAAAACGACAGAAAGAAAAGGCAGATGGTAATAACAGAAAGCATAACAGAAAGCTTTTAGAATGTACAATTAGCTTGTGCCCGTGCCCGAACGGTCACCAAATGTGTTTCACTTCTCTCTGGGCTGAAGTCCGGTCCCGGAACTGCTGTACTTTCAAAGTGCGCCAGGTCTAAGTATTGCTTATGCTAAAAACTTATCGACGTTTCAGAGCTTTTCAAATACGCTGTCAACGCCGCAGGCACTTTCAATGAAATCGGATTAGCAAAAATAGAATGGATGCACAGAGTAGCGGTCGCGGTGTTTAACCCAGCCGACGTAGAGGTGAGTCACTCTAGTATCTTGCTGGATTTATGATTGTATGTGCCTTTATTTCTACTTCATCGACGAACGAGCTAAGAGCGCCCCTCTCTCACGTAGATCATTCTGGGCAGTTCAGTTCATCTCGAGAAGGCCAAAGAATATCGCTTCTTCAAGCCCTGGCTTGGAGAGGGACTCCTCATCAGTTCCGGTGAGTAGGGCTCTCGCTCATTTTCGGAACGTTAAGTGCTTCAAATGCGTAAAAAGTGTGTCACCTTCTAGGCGAGAGCACTAGGCGCTAAAGCGTTCTGAGCCGCGTTCTGTCCGTGCAGGGGACACGTGGCGCACCCACCGGAAGCTCATCGCCCCCACCTTTCACCTGAACGTGCTCAAGCAGTTCGTCTACCTGTTCAACCGGAACAGCCGGGCGCTCTGCCGCAAGCTCGACGCTGTGGTCGGCCAGGTTGTGGACATTCACGACTACATGAGCGAGACCACAGTCGAAATCCTGCTGGGTGAGTGCAGCTATGAATAGCGTGAGCCCGCTCCGGGTAAGTGCAGCTTTGAGCAGCGAGAGCTTTGTCCCCGCTCCTGCCACTAAACCATTTCCGCTTGCAGAGACGGCTATGGGGGTAGATCGATCGACACAGAATCGGGGATACGACTACGCGATGGCAGTGATGAAGTAAGGAGTCATCAAAGTTGGCAGATAAAATAAAAAGGGGTGAGAACAGACAGGCAAGATGGATGCGTGCAATAAATTGTTCTATTTTCAAAAGGATGTGCGAGATTCTGCACGTACGGATGTTCCGCCCCTGGCTGTGGCCGGACTGGCTGTTCAATATGGTTCCGATGGGAAGAGAGCAGAAATCACTGCTCCACACCATTCACAGTCTCACTCGAGAGGTAGGAGAGGCTACGGAAACGTTTCAAACTCGTTTCACAATTTCGTCATTTTAAATCGAGTTTGAGAAAGTACGGAACTGTGATGTTTTGATGACGCTAGAAACTACTCTCAGGTTTTAAAGAAACGAAAGGCAGAACGCAAGCAAGGAGTCCGGGAGGGCTTGTACAAGAGAGTTGTTACGGACAAGGACGACGTGGCCGACGGCGACGCGGAGGAGTCCACGTCAGAGACCTCAGTGAGCTCGTACGGATACACGACAGGCCTTAGAGACGACCTCGACGACGACGTCGGTAAGGAGTCTAACGTGTCGCAAATACCAAACCACCGAAGGTGGTGTTTAATGTGAGGTTATGCCTACCAAACGAGACGAAAACTGGGCTCATGCATCCTACAGGCGAGAAGAAGCGCATTGCCTTCTTGGACCAGATGCTGGACGTGGCCGAGAACGGTGCAGTGCTCTCTGACCGAGAGGTTGAGGAGCAGGTCAACACTATCATGTTCGAGGTGAGGCTTGGCGCCGAGTGGTTAGGCCGCCCATCGTGCGTCTGGGGCCGGGCGGTGGACGTGCTGCAGGAGTACCTCGCAGCCCACCCAACCCCACCACGCTCAGCAGCGCTACCCAGTCTGACGTGTGGGCGGCTACCCCCTCCCCGCTGAAAGAACTGAAAATTTTATTTACAAAATTTGAAAATTTCATACAGAGTACAAAAGCTGCAATGTTTAGAATTTTATCCGAAATCTAACACAAAATATCGTCAAACGATTTAGAGGTTTCTAAGTTCAGGCATACCTTGACGTTGGTGTATTCCAGGGCCACGACACGACGGCGGCCGGAAGCAGCTTCTTCCTGTCGCTGATGGGCGTGCACCAGGACATCCAGGAGCGCTGCGTCGACGAGCTGCGCACGATCTTCGGCGACTCGCAGCGGCCGGCCACCTTCCAGGACACGCTGGAGATGAAGTACCTGGAGCGTTGCATCAACGAGACGCTGCGCCTGTTCCCGCCGGTCCCCGTGATCGCGAGGCACGCCACCGAGAACATCCAGATGAGTGAGTGGCGGCGGTGACCCCTCTGCGGGCTGGGCGCGTTGTGTAGGGGTGGATGTTGATGGTGACAGTCACCCTCCTCTTCTCGAACCACCAGAGTCTGGCCACGTCATCCCCGAGGGCACGACGATCGTGATCCCCCAGTATTTGATCCACCGCGACCCCACGCAGTACCCTAACCCGGAGGTGTTCGACCCGGACAACTTCCTGCCCGAGCGCTGCTCCGAGAGGCACTTCTACTCCTTCGTGCCGTTCAGCGCCGGCCCGAGGAGCTGCGTCGGTAAGAGGAACTCGGCACACGCCAGCATCAACACGCGCATCTCGTTACGGCGTTACCAACCGCTTTACCCCCTGCCTGAACAGGTCGCAAGTACGCCATGCTCAAGCTCAAGATCCTGCTGTCCACGGTGCTCCGCAAGTTCCACGTGCGCGCCGACGTGCTCGAGAAGGACTTCCAGCTGACGGGGGACATCATCCTGAAGAGGAAGGAGGGCTTCCCAGTGCGGCTGTACCCGCGGAGCACGCACCAGGCCGCTGGCCAGAGCGGGGATCGGTGATACATGAAGTAACAAGTATTATTCTAACGACGATATTCTAGCCAATAATAATAAAAATATTAGTTTTTACCGTGATGAGATGCAAGTCAGTGGTGCCTGTCTGCACCCCACCCCGGGATCGTAAACACAACACACTCGTGCACGAGGAGGACCCCGTCAGCACGCGCGCGGATGGTGCGGCGGAGAGCGCCGGTGGAGGGAGGGGGAGTGGGGGCGGCTCCGGGGCCCCAGCCCGCCCAGCCGCGCGCGGCCCGGCAGCGGCTGCAGCGGCCCGCCAGTCCGATCCGGGCCGCGGGCTGAGCGTAGTGTTGCGGTGCGCTACTCCGAGCGCCTCGCCAGCCATCGGACGTGTGTCTGTGAGGGTGTGTGTGAGTGAGTGTGTGAGTGTGCGGCGCGAGTGTGTGCGCGCGTGCGTGTGCGTGCGTGCGTGAGTGTGTGCGTGCAGTGATGTGCTAGCGGTGCGCGCGCCCGCCAGCACGAGTCCTCCCTCGAGTGCACCGCCCCCGTCGTCACCCCCTGCGGAGTACAGTGCCCGTGTCCGCGATGCAGCGGTTACCCGTCGTCCTGGCCCTCGCGGCCGCGATGGCCGCCCTGGCCGTCAGCGCGTCCCCTGTCAGCACGCCCGACAGGAGCCTCGTGCCAGGTCAGTACAGAGCCGGTGTGGTACGCGCCCGATGCAGCACAACCCCTCCGGGAATTCCCCGTGCGCCGAACAGCGCGGGCGCGGGTGGCGCCGAGGGGGCGCCTTCTTGTGCGCGCATCGCTGACAATCTGAAAATGTGTCCGGTTTTGGGGGAAATGGAAAGGAAAAGAGCAAAAAATGAGCAACACCAAGCAAGCAATCTGATGTTTGAACCGGGTTGAACCTTGCGGCTTGAGCGCATCGTGACATGCGTTCGGCGTTCGGCGCTGTGACCTGCTGCTGCTTTTGTTGTCGTTGTTGCTGCTGCTATTATTCTCGACTTTGTTCGGTATTCTGATTAGGAGGTTGCGAGGTTCGACGGGTGTGCCAGAGAGCAGTCAGCCTTACAAGATGCGTCGCGGGGCCGGGGGAGGGGGAGGATGGTTCCGGCGGAGAGGGAGGAGGAGTGGAGGAGGTGGAGGAGGAGGAAGAGGTGGACCGGGTCGGGCCGGGCCGGCGGGCCGGGGGCCGGGACCCCGCGCGCGCGAGGCGAGGTGCAACCGACATTACACCATCCTTCCCTTCCCTTCCCGTGTGAAAGTCTTTAAGTCCGCGCGGCACCCGGGCGCCGCGGGCACGTGCAAACAACCCTCTCCCCCCTCTCTCCCTCTGCCCACCATGTACCAGTGCGGTGTGATCGGCGTGGCCACGGGCGTGGGTGGGGTGGCCACCATGTCCATGCAGTCAGTCGGCGTGGTCAAGGTGTCCATGCAGTCCGAGTGATCAAGGTGTCCATACTGCCGGTGTGGACACGATGCCCATGATGCCTGCGTGGCCACGACCAATGGGTCCACCATACAAAATATGCGTGCACTTTGAATATTCAAAAGTTGAACACTCGTGAATACTAAACGAATACTCGTGAATACTAAGCGAATGCTCGTGAATACTAAGCGATTGATCGTGAATACTAAGCGAATACTCGTGAATATCAACTGGATATTATTGCTTACCAATTTTCGCTTGACCTGTGGACTGTGGATATCCAACGTTGTGGACCCCCCAGTCACGATGTCCGCGACCCTTCCCCTCACCTTCCCCGTCAGGCGCTTATAGAACCCGACACGGGCCGCATAATGACTCCTAGGCGCGGTGCATTAATCACGCTGAATATGCAAAACATTGAAACCCTTACAATGTTTTAAAGTTGATTCGCAACTGTCGAGCCTTTGACGTCTCAGCACTGAGCACAGTAACAAGCGGACAGGATCGCGTCCTCGCTAGTGCCGCAGGGCCGACGATGAGGCTTTAAGGGGAGATTAGGCAAAGCCCCAACACTGCCGTGTCCGCTCTGGAACAGCCGGTCATTAACTCCATGGGGACAACCATCGAGCGAAAAGTGTAGACCTGTGCAACGTGGACGGGAGACAGGGAGGTCTACGCGGACTTGCGTTACCGCATCTCGCGGAACGTGGAAACGATGCAGTCCCGGGAGCAGTCTTTACCTATTCCACGTTTCGGTAACGTGGGCTCATGTCGATCCACGTCCCATCGGCGCATTGGATTGGTCTATTGAAAAGGTTACATTCGCGTGGGCGTGACGTTTTTGTGAGGTATTTTCATTTTTGACAGTGTAGCAGTGAGCAGAGTGGGTGTCTAGACCGGCACAGCTCGGAGGTCTTTTTCGTAACGAAAGTAGCTGCACCGAGGCGAGGTCAGACTTGCAATGATTAGAACGGCAGGGGGCTTTGGCGCTCTGCTTCTGCCCCCCCTCCCCCCATCCCTCCTCCACCTTCACCTCCCTACTTATTATAAAATAAAAAAATAACTATTCCTTTGCAAAATGCAGAAGTTTTCATTGACTTTAGTAAATCTTGGACGGGAAGCCCTGACTTTGCCATTTGTGGTTACGCTTCTAGCCCGTGACTTGACATTCATATTGGCGTTCAAGGTGCGGACCACGGCCGATGGGTTGTGAAAGATTTCACTAACTCATGCGTTCTAATCCCACGGGTAGGCCTCATGAGCGGCTTAGATTCTGACGCACTTAGAATAATGTACGCGAAGAAAATAACCGAGTCACGCTGAAGTGGCATCAGAGGCCTACTAACTGAAGGATTCGGATTTGAAAGGTTAATCCCCCTACACAATTAAGTCATTTTCAAAGGGAAATAATTGAGAGCGTCCCTTAAAAAAAAAATAAGTGTAGCAACACAAATTTTGTTGCGGTGCACGCTGACAGACATATGGCGGCGTTACGATTGCGCGGTGCTCCTCACACAACAACGCCGCGCCAAAACAAGCACACCGCGGTCGCGTTTGGAAACACTCGCCGTCTCCGTCGCTCTCATTGTCCGGGCGATGAGACGGAGAGGGCGGGAGAGAGTAATAGAAAGAGAGAGAGAAGGACACACGTTGCACCTCCATAGGGTTTTGGCGGCATGTGCGCCATACCCCCATTGCAAAATAATGCACGGCAGAAACGAAGATTTGCAAAGTAGTTGTGAGCAGGCTTATCCTCTTCTTCACTTACTGAAATATTTATAAGCAAAAATATTCGTATAAAGCAGATTTTTAAATAAAAATGATTTCTATTCATGGGATTTTAGAGACCATGCACGATACCCTTTCCATGATACCCACCCTACCACATGCAGGCGAGCTCGCCGTGGTGCCTTTAGCAGAGTGAGTGGGCAACCCGCCCAAACGGCAATACAGTATAACAGGTGGCCGACGCACTTCCTGACAAGTTATACTGTACCGCGGTACAGCCACCATGGTACAACCAAGCCTAGGTAAACCCTGCAGATTTCCCCTTTGCTTAGTTCTTAGCTGTGTCTTCGGCCGAAGGAACAAAACGCAGAGTCTGCGGCCAAAGCTCCTGTACCTCCACCGCCGCTGTCATTGCTCAGCTTCTAAATTTCAATGCGAGTTCTCACTCCGCCCCCTCCCCTCCCCCGACCTTACCCTCTCACGCTGATTGAGTAATTTCTCCGCTGTGAACCCGGCGCCCGACTCGGCTCGGCCCCGCTGCTCTGCGCTCTGTTCGCGGATGGCGCCATTGAGGTACACTGCGTTCTCTTGGCAGAGCAGACGTTGTCTTCGCAGAGCGAAAGAAAGCAATGCCTACGGGGGGCGGCGGCTCCGGGCAACTGAGTGCCCGCGGGACGTTGGACAGCGGTGTCGTCTGCCGAATGACGGTAAAGTTGGGCACAATCGCGCAGGGCCGGGGCCGGGAGTCACAACGGAGGGCTGGATTTGACGAGGGCAGCACTCGGCGCCGCCAGCGCACAGTGCGGCGGTCCTTTGTGATGGTTCCTGGCCACGGTTTGGTTCCCCTTGGCTGCTCCTCGCCCTACCCCGCCCGGCTCTACACCGCTCTGCCTTGGTCACGGAAGGTTCCCGCCACGACCCGAAGAGTCACGGCATTTAGGAAAGAGTTTAACCTTGACCCACCCTGCCCTACTTTAGATCTAGCCAAAAGAAAGAAGAAAAATGATGGTAACACGTCTTCAGCTTACTTTTACTTTTAGGAAAATCTTTCGAGGTTCATGTGAACGACTTGGAGGCTGTCTGTTCCACCTTTAAAGGCGATGGAACTTGAAATTTCCATGGTACTTTGGTATGCATAGACACGAAAACGCCAACGGCTTGGTAGGTGCGTCGTCAAAAGAAAAAGGAAATCACCCAAAATTTCGTTTCTTGAAACTTTGCATGTTTTCTCTATATCGAACCAGACACCGACCAAACGCCACCTGTGTGGGCCAAGCAGGCCGTGTAGGCAGGGGTAAGGTGCAGGTGGAGTAGTGCGAGTAGTAATACCGCACCCCCGGGCGATCGGAACGCTTCTCCACCTCCCGGAGCTGAGGCGCCGAGGCATTCACTTTCGGGTCCAGCCGTGGCAGGCGGACGCCTTGGTTGGCCCCCTCTGCTCTACTGCAGCCCCCTCGGCGGCCTGGTCCATATCTCTCTAGCCTTGGCTGCTGCGGGGCTGCGCTCCCGGCGGGTGGACGCGCTCTGATACCCTCCCGCAGGCTGCCCGTGGGGCGCGGCCGCGCGCGGGGCCAGCGGCACGCACAGGCCAGACCCAGTGGGGCTCCGCGCGGAGCACACCGCGAGCAGCGCGGCGCGCGTTTCGAAATGCGAGGAAAGATAATTTCTATAACAGGCAGCCAGCGGGCGGGCCGGGCCAGGGGCGGCGCCCCCGCCCGCGGTGCTGGCCCCGGCCGCCCTGGCCCCCCTAGCGGCGGCACTCTTGGCAACCCCCACAATTGGAACAACGTTTATGGATTCCATGAATTTTGAGAGACCCTCTCGTAGCGCGCACCCGCAGCCGCACCGCGGCTTCTGAGGGTGTGATTTGGTAGTTGTGGAGCGTGGGCACATGAGGGATAGTAATGGAGGGGGGCTGGGGAGGGAACCAAGAGAGAGAACGAGAACAATACGGGCTACC